TGTCCTCGTTCAACCACTCCATTGGCTTTAGAGTTATAGGCTGAAATCTTGACATGAGGTACACCGTATCGTGTGACCAGTTCCTTGAATGCTCCTTCTACCTCACTTCCATTGTCTGTAGTGACCTGCCCAATTGCACCATAGCGACAAAAGATTTCTTCCCACAAAAACTTGGCGACTGCACTAGAGGTAGCCTTTCTAAGTGCTCGCCCTTCTGCTGCCCCTGACAGATCATCTCTAGCTGCTACAATGTATCTGTAACCCTGGACGGTTGGCATATACATTATATCTAGATAGATTTTGACAAAGATAGTGGCAGGGGTAGAGACCATGAGAGGGACTTGAACCTTGCGTACACTTCTAACTTGGCATTGAAAGCATGAACGTACATGATGGCGTACGTCGTTCCATAGGCTTGGCCAATAGAAGCGTTCCTTCAGGGTAGCCATGACTGCTTGCTCACCACGATGTCCACTTTGTTCATGAGCTGCATAAAGCAGGGCATCTCGCTTGTGCTGGCGAAAGATACACTTGGTGGGTCCCTTTGGTCCATTACGCTTGAACATCACCTTGTCTTTGATGAAGAACTTCATAGCCTTCTTGATGAAGCGCTCGCGTTGCTGCAGGGTGCTGAAAGAGGGTGCTTCTAAAGTAGACAAGAAGTGGTATATGTCTGCCATAGTTTGCTCCTGCTTGGACATACTTGCCATGCATACTGGTGCACCAATGGGCCTGTCTGGACTTGCTAGAATGCTGAGTATTGCTTGTGCTGGTGCCTCATCCCATTCTGACTCCACAGGTACATACGGTGTCACTGGTTGAGAGGTATATGGCCTGGAAGATGGTGACGCATTGTACAAAGCAATATTGTCTAGCCAGCTGTCGTCCTCTTCAGGAGTTTCTTCTCCTTCTGCTCTTTCCTTTCTTGACAAGGCATCAGGTCCACGGTGCTTTTCTGCAGGTACATGTACCAGCTCAATGTCAAATAGCAAGACTCCTTGGATCCAGCGATTCACTGTTGCATTAGGTTGCAGGTCTGGATCATTGAGCATCCCCTTGATGTACTTTGCATCTACCTCCACTCGCAGCTTTCTGGCTCCAATGATATAGAGTCTATAGGCCCTCAAAGCCCGAAAGAGCCCATACAGCTCTAGCTTAGGCTGGGAGTACCTTGATTCTCTATCATTCATAGGTATAGATCCATACCGCGCAGGTCTCTTCCTTCCCTTCTCATCCACCTGGGATAGGATAAATCCTACCGCAATATAACTGGTGTCCACAGATAATACAATGGGTCGATCTGAAGTATAGTCAATGGGATGCAAGGCTGGAGGTGACGTGATTGCCTTCTTCAATTCTTCAAAGGCCAGTTGCCTTCGCTCATCCCAGATAAACTCTGCATCATGTCGCACTAGCTCAGTAAGAGGCCTAGCCTTTATTGAATAGTTTTCTATCCAGATGCGCACAGTACCACATAGTCCTAGGAATCCGCGTACATCCTTAGGTGTCTTCAGAGGTGGCCAGCTCAAGATCTTCTCAATCTTTTGCTGATCTGGAAGTCGCCCTTGAGGTGTGCAGCGCTGTCCTACAATTAGAACCTCTGGTTGCGCCAGTTGCACCTTGCTAGGAGAAAATGTTCCGCCTGCATGCTGGACTCGATGAATAATGCGATGGACGTCCTGAGCATGTTCCCATATAAACCTTCGGATGCCTGGGTTCTCCTTCAAAACTTCTGGCTTCCCATCAGGTCCTTCATAGGTACTTGCAGGTCCTTTGATTGGCAAGTCATCAATGAAGATGTCTGCAACCTGAGAAATTTCTCCTTGCAGAATAAATGCCATACATGCCTGGAACTCAGCAGGGGAGTTGGTGAAACCAGTAGGTAATGAAGTAATGCGTAGTAACCCAAGAGGTGTTAGGAAGGCTGTGAGATCACGACTTTTAGGGTGGACTTTACGTGCATCAAATCCCCAGTACAAGTCGAAGACTGTGTAGCATTGACGTCCTGCAAATGGCTCTACAAAGTTGTCCAGGTTGGGTGGCAGACCTGCATCCCTGATGGATACCTTGTTTAGAGGCTGCAGGTCATGGACAATCCGCAGCTTTCCACTTTTCTTTAAGACGCAGAACCATCTGGACCGATATGATGACTGACTTGGCTCATAAACCCCTGCCGCAATTTTCTCCTTGAGCAGTTCCACTACACGTTCTTGAATTCCAAGGGGTATAGGTATATTCTTGAAGGCCCAAGGTACATGGGGTACAACAGGGATAATATAGGGAGAGAAATAATCCTCACGAAATGATCCCCGTTGGCTGTCTTCAAAGACGAAGGCATTCTGGTGAATCTGAAGGACGTGCTTGAACAACTTCTCTTCTTCTGGCCAGAGAAATTCCTTAGAGTTGATATTCATCTCATCTAAGTATTCCTGGGTGAGCCGGCCTCCATTAGGTACAAACTCGGGAGGTTGCTTGGGCAAAGGTACCAGCGATGCAAGTGGGTCTTCAGGGAACTGCCGGGTTACGCGAGCATCTTCAGGAAACACTGCAGGAACTGGTTTCACCTTGCGATCCACTCGCTTATATGCTCCAAACACCGCCGGTGTTCCCAGCTTCTGATTGGCTGAGAACAGCTGACCTCCATCCATGCAGATAACCGTGTCGTCATCGTCAAGAGTTTCCAGGAATTTCACCATGTCTGCAGTAAACATGACAGGCTCTTCATCATCCCAGTCGATGTATGTCTCACTTTTCGGGTGAAAGACACTAAAGACATCTACTTGTTCAAACCCTGGATCTTCTATCATGTCTTCTTCATACTCTTCCTGCTCCTGCTCCCCTATTTCTTCTCCCTCACTACTCATTAGCAAGCCACAGGCACTTATTTCTAAGTCCTCATCTTTTGGCTCACACCCTAAGCCTAGCACAGCCGCTCTCGCACACCTCAGCCCGGCATCAGAGGCTCTCGAGAATTCATTGTCCACAGCTCTTACCAGATTAGGTAGCTTAGCCGGCTGCGTCTCTGACTCAAGCAAGTAGTCTGTGCGTGTGAGGTGGGAACTGTGTGGTACCAATTCTGTAGCTACTATAGTTGCCCAGTCTCGGCTATAAGTCCCTAGCGTAGTGTCAAATCCTGTAAGCTTACTTGTGCTAATACTACCCAGGGGTCGCCCTATCATACACCACCAATCATGTCTGCTAATGTTACATACAGAGGCCATAGATGAAACTGAAAACCACAACGCGTCCAATGAGGGCATGTCACGGGGGCCACATCTCGTACCCGTCCTAGCGAGCCTGCTCGCTATGGGACCTGACGTGGCTTCCGTGCTTGCTAACAGCCTCCGAGAAGCATGGCCTGCGCCACTGGCTCGGGCGCACCCGCTGCGTGCTCGGTTGGCTTGGACAATTCCCCTCGCTGGACCTACAAGTACAGATAGATGGTCAAGAATAAAACGGTCGCAAACAAACACATCACCGAAGCAAAAATTAAAAGTACAAAGTCGCGCTCCCGTGTTGCCGGGCAGCGCATCGTCCGTATCGCCTAAGTCCCGTATAACCGCGTTAGTACCGTGTGTGCGCACATCTCGCGTCGTGCGTACCT